TAAGTTCCCTAAGTACCGGTATTAGGGGTACTAATTAAAACTTTAATAAACTAGGGCTTAAAAATAAATCTAAAAATTACGTTCTTTACTATTTTAAAAACTTTATTATTATCGTTAATTTCTATAATTTCTCTTCTTTAATTAAAAAAAAAAACTATCTTTTTCCTAAGTTATAAAAACTAGTTTAGGTTATTAATCCTATATATCTTTTTAAAATAAGGTTCGATTATTAAAATACGGTTTTTAAAAAGTCTTTTTTTATAAATAATATAAATATTTACTTAGTTATAATAGCTTAAATTAAGTCGCACTACGTAAATATATCTAACTATACTTATAAAATTAGCTAAAGGGAGTATAAGCATAGTTTATTAAAGTAGTCCGATTTAATAATTTAAAATCTACTTAGCTAAGAGCTTAGTATTTTCTTTAGTTAATATATTTATTATATAAAAAAAAAAGGTAACGTAATTAATAATTACACACCTTCTTCCATTTTTAATTATAATAAAAGGAATATTGTTTATAAGCTTATAATTATTACGCTTTTTATAATACTAAGCTCCTTAAACTAAAATAATAAAATAAATATCCTTATTAAAAATATACTAATTATAATCCTTAATAATTTAGTAATATTAACTCTAGTAATACTAATACTAATCCCTAAGTCTTATAATTAGGGGCTAATTAAAATATATAGTACTTATATTAAATATATAGGTAAGGCTTCGAAAATAAATACTATTTTAATAAATCTTTAGCTTACTTATTATATTAGCTAGGTTAGAATTAATAATATTATTAATAGCTATTTAAATAACCTAGACCTCTATTATTAATTAATAATATTATTAATAATTTAAATACTAATACTAAATATTATTACGTATTTAAAGAGTAAAGGGCCGTAGTAAGGGCTCGGGTTAACTCTAACTATTTATAAAAAATAAGCTATACTCTTTTTTATATATAATCGTATTAAAAAGTCCTATTTTAAACCTCGCGTACTTTATTAATTTAATAAAGCCGTTTAGAGTAACCCTAACTTCTTTTATTACTTTTTTTATAATATTAGTATAAAATTACTTATATATAGCCTTAATTAAGCTCTTATTAGTTATAATATAGAGGTCTTATTATTTAATAAAAGTAATTATATTATTAATTTTAATAAATAGTACTTAAATAAAGTTTAGATTAAAAAACGAAATAAATAGTCCCTTAATAACTTTTTTAATTTACTCTTCTTTATTTAAAAAGCGGTTAATATCTTATTTCTTATACTTTTTTAAAAAAAAATCCTTAGTTTAGGCTTAAAATAATCCTTTAATTACGTCCTTAATTAAAGTTTAATAATCTCTTTTTATAATATACGTAATAAGTTTACCCCTAAATTAGTTTAAGACCTTACTAATTTTATATTAATCCTTAAACTTTTTTAAACAATTTATAATATTATTACCCTTAAAAACTATAGTCCCCTCTTAATTAAGAAATAGTATTTTATAAAAACTTATATTCTTTATTAAATTAAACTAAGGAATCGTAAGGCCCTTAGTTTAAGGTATAACTATTTAAATCTAAATAGTAATAGTACTTAAGAAAATATTAATCAAAATATTTATCTTAACTTAAACTATAACTAGTTTTTTCTAATTAGATTAATAAATAAATCTATTAAAAAGAATAGCCTTTTTATTATTTAATAATTCCGTAGCTTATAAATCTTAATAAACTATAAAAACTAGTTTAGTAAATAGTCTATTTAAAATAAAAGGGTTAGGTTCGTATAATTAAATATTTTAAAGGGTACTAATAATAATAAAAGTAACGTACTAATTATCTATATTTATAATCCGAAGTTATTAAAAATATAGTTTATTAATTTTATTTATAATTTTAATAATCTTATATTAATCTATTTACTCTAAATAGAGTTTAAAAAAGGAGGAGAGGAGCTATCTTAATAACTAAAACGTAGCTATTATCCTAATTAATATAATTTAAACCGTTCTTCTTAATCCTTACTAAGTATATAACTAAAGTTTTAATTAGACGTTGTATTAAGCTTACGATAATACTAATTAAAATTGTTAATAAATTTAGTTAAAAACTAGTTTTATAAATACTCTTAGTCTAACGTATTTATACTTCTAAATAAGTTTATTATTAAATCTCTAAACTATATTAATTAATAAAAAATAGTGTAGTTAAATAACTAGTTATACTTATTAAAACGTTCTATTTATTCTAATCTTAACTTATTATTTATTTTATTATACTATTATAGCGTTTTATATCTAAGCCTAATTTAGTCCTAAGTATTTACGTTCTCCTCTATTTTTTATTTCGTTTATTTCTTAAAGTTTATTATATCCCCCGTTTTATTAAATAAAAAGTCCTTTTTTATATATTTTTACTATTATATCTTAATTATTTAATTACTTTTTTTTAAATTAAAATATTATTACTCATATTTATTTTAATCGTTATACTATTTTCCTTAATTAATTATTTAAAGTATTTCTAATTAAATCGGGTTTTCTTTTACTTATTTTCTTATTTAATAAAAAAGGGATTTTTAAAAAGGGAAATTATTAAAAAACGTATAAAATATAAAAAACTCTCGTAGTATAGTACTTTAGAAGAACTACTAATACTTATAAAAATAATATAAAATACCTCCTTTAATTAGGTTAATACGGCCTTAATTAATAAAGTTATAACTAAGAAAAGAGGATAATATTAACTAGATTAGAAAGGTAAACTTCTTAATCATCTTATATTATTACGTTTAAAAATAAATTATTAAAAAAGCTCTAGTTTAATCCTAAAAAAGTATATATATAATTAAAATAAAAATCCGCACTATTTAACTCTCTATTTCTAATTAGGGCCTTTTTTTTTATATTTTATTTTAATTAGCCCTCCTATAAATACTTATACTTAATTAACTATAAAAAGAACTACTAGGACTAATTACCCTACCCCATTCTATTAGTTATCAAGCCTACTTTCTAAAGCTCCTTATCCTCCTTCTTTATAAAATTAATATTAAATAAGCCTAATATATTATTAATTTATATTCTAATAATTCTAAATTAATTACCTTTATATTTAAAAACTAATAAGTACGGGTCGTACGTAAATATAACTATTAATAATTAATTAATATAAAAATTATAATATATAACTTACTAATAAATACCTAATTCTACGAGCCTATATAATAGTTTAAGCACTTTAATAATTATACTTTCTAAATACTTACTAGCCATTTCTTTTAGTAAATAAGCTAGGATTTTCCTTATAAGCCCTATAGCTAATTAAGTATAGGCCTAAGTAATATTATAGCTCTAAATCTTATATCCCTTTTTTTATAATAATACTATTAGTACTATTATTAATTATTAGTTATAGCGCTATATTATAAATAATTAAATAAGTAGCGTCGCTTTTTTAATATCGCTATACCCTTAAATTATATACCTAAATTTTTTATATAATTAAAGTATTCCTTTTCCTTTAATTTTATATACTATTCGTAATTTAAATATATAAAAACCTTTATATTTCTTAGGGTTATAAAAAATAAATTAATAAACCCCTTAATTATATAAAATATCTACTTTAATAAAATCTAATCCTTTATATAGCTTTTTAATAATTATAATTATACCTTTTTTATATAATTTAACTACTAGTTTAAAATCGGCTTTCTTTTTTACTATATAATAAGTATTAAATACCTCGTTATTAATAATAAATTACTATATTAAGGCTTATTATTATAATTTTTTATAATATCTCGTTAATAATATTAATACCTTTTTAACAATTTCCTCTTTCTTATTATTTATTAATACTACTATAATAATTTTATTAAAAATAATTTCCTATACCTCTATTACGGGTTATATTATTTCCCTTAGCTCTTCTTCTTTTTATAAATTAAAAATTACCTTAATAAAATCCGTATAATATAATTTAACTACTATAATTAATACTTTAAGTAACTAGTTATAATCTTTTATAATTATATAAAACCGCTCGTTAATAAAAATTAATTTATATAACCTAGCCTATTATTAAGTAATTTCGTACTATACTTATATATCCGAATTCAGGGGCATATCTAAATTAGCCCCTATATTAGGCCTATTATATATAATAATTACCTTATTAACTTACTTTTTTATACTTACCTCGCGTAGTACCTATATTATTTTTTTAATTATTTAAGCTCGTTAAGTTACGTTTAGTAATAATAACAAGGCTAAGGTCGTTCTTAAATATACTCTAAATATTAATAATATTAATATAAGCTTATTAAGCCCTATAATATCGTTATAGTACTTAAGTACTATTTAAAAATATTCATTATTAATAAAATTAGGATTTTCCTTTTTAATAATTCTAAACGCCCTTTTTAATTATTAATATACCCTTTTTATTTTTTTAATATTATAATACGCTTTTATAAATATAACTTTTAATTATATACTATAAGCTATCGCATTTTTTCTAAATTTTATTAACTTAAAACTCGTATTAATATTAGTTCTAATACTATTTAGTAATCCCTAATATATATTAATTTAGTATTTTTATAAAGCTACTTATACTATTTTTACTTATAAATCCTATAAGAATTACCTTACTTAAAATAATATAGCCTCGTTAATTATATATAAAACCGATTAATTATTTAAATAAAAAACATTGATAACGATTTCTTAATTAAAATTAAGCTTATTATATAATTTAAATTTAAATTTATATAGGCTCTGCGCATTTATTTAATATTAATAATATACTTTCGTTAACTACTCTAATACCCCTATTTTAATATTATAATTACTTAATTACTTTAAAAAGCTATATAGCTTCGTAACTAATAAGTACCTAAATCTTTAGTATAATTATCTAAGCTTATTTTTTATTAAGTAATTAATTAATTTCGTATTATTAATAAGCTTTATAAATATATACCCCTATTATCGTTCGACTATTTTAAAATACTTATTACTAAAGATTCTATTCCTCGTATTATTAAAAATAATACTTAGTCGATCTATATCTTTTAAATATAAAAAAAATAGGGTATTAATAAATAAAATATAAAAAATTATCGTTTTAAAATACGTTTCTACTTTTACCGTACTTAGGGTAATAATTTCTTTACTTAAGCTAAAGTTAATTCTTATAATACCCGCTATTAATATATTAAGTATTATTAATACGATTTTTTATAATATTTAGAATTACCCCTTTCCTCTTATTAACTATTATAATACCCTAGTATTTAAAATAATCTTATAAAAATTATCTAAGCCGTACTTTTTACTCGTATAAAATACTTATATAAGCTTAGTATTTAAATAATTTAAATAATATAAAAAGGGCCCCTCTAACTATTCCTAAAATTATTTAGTACCGTATTTCTTTTTTTTAAATATTAAAAAAAGTAATATTTTCTCTTTAAGTATTAAAAAAATAAAATTTTATATTATTAAATTCGTCCTTTTATTTACCTCTATATTTATTATTTAAAAAACTTTCCCTTACTATTTATAAATAAAAACCTACTTATTTAAAGCTTTTATTATTTTTTATTTATTTAGCCTCGTATATCCTCTAGATACTAACGGGGTAAAAAAAGAATAATTAATATTATTAATTTTATTATAATCTAATTCGTTAATATAAGGGGTAAAATCTTCTTTATTTTCCGAATTTTTTATAAGGGGTAAATACTCTAAGCTATTATTATAACTACCGTTACTAAGTTCTATACCCCTAGATCTATTTTTATATATAATAAGGAATTAACTAAATTAATAAGGGCTAATTTTACTATTTACTACCCTTAACTTTCTATACTATTTATATAATTTAGTACGTTCTTTTTTAAAATAATTACTTAATTAATATCTATCTTTTTATAAATAAAATATTACTTCTTTTATTACTTTATTTATAAGTTAAATCTTTACTTATTTAATAAATCTAAGCCTCCTTATTAATAATTATTATACCTAATCTCTCTCCTTTTCTTATTATATATCTAATTAACTTAATATTATTAATAAGGGCCGTTATATACTTAAAAATAAGTTTAATATAGTATTCTTATTTTAATATTAAAACTAAATCTTAGCCTCGAGTAGAGTATTTTATAATTTTTAAGTACTTAATAAAAAGTTATTTTTATTTTTAGTACGTACTAAACTATAATATAAAAATATTTAACTTTCCGCTTATTAATCCCCTTATTTAACTAAGTCTTTACTAACTTATTAATTCGATTAATAAGCTCTTTAAAGATTTTTATTTATAATTTACTCTCTATTATCCTAACTATAAATATAAAAAAAATTACTTATAATTTAAATAAGAGCTCTAAATTTTTATTATAAGTTTTAAAATAGCTTTGGATTACGTTAATAATACTAAAAAAATCGTTTTAATTAAAATTATATACCGCTTTGTAATAATAATTAAAAGCTTTATTTATAAGTACGATATTAATTATTAAATAGTACTAATATTCCCTAATCCTAACTTTTTTATAATAGTTATAAAATATTATTAGGGTTTTTTATAAAACCTTATACTTCCCCCTAAAATATAATTTCTTTTTTAAAAAGATCTTTTTAAAATCTATAAATTACTTCGTATTTATTACTATATTTTTAATATTTATATATAATCCCTACGTTACTATATATTATTAATAACTTCGGGTTATCTATTTCTTTTCTTACTAACTAATTTATACCAAATTTCGTATTAATAATAATAACGAGCTATAAATTAAAATAAATAGAATTATTAATTATTATATATCTAGTACTCTATTTTACCTTTATATATTCTTTTATAATAATAAATTATTATTAATAATTATAAAAAGAAAATCTAAATCGTTTACCCTTATTCTAAATTCGTTAAAGCGATTATATACTTTATTAACCTATGCCTAGTTCTATAATATAAATTCCTCCTCTATAATTATTATTACTAAAATTTTATATAATTCTCGTAATTATAATTACGCTAATAATACCCCTTGCTTATAAAAAAATCTATTAACTACTTTCGTAATTCTTAAGCTTATACTTATAAACTATTTATCTAGTTAGTAACTAAAGTTATTTATAATTTCGTAAAATAGGGGTTACCCCTATAACCCCTTTTTTTTATAAACCTTAGTTAAATAGATTAATACTACGTTAATTTACTTATTATTAAGCTAATTTATAATCCTATATATCTATATCCCCTAATAATCTAAGTTAATATTTACTTATTTATAAAAAATTAGGATTTTATTTAAAATTAGGTTTTTTCTTTTTCTCCCTTACCCTAACTCGCTAAAAATCGTACTCTAACTTATACTTATATTAATAATTACTAGTATATTTAATTTTAATAAGAATATATTTAATCTATATACTAACTATAATAAAGATGGAAAGAATCTTTGCAAGCTCTAGTACGAGCAGCAGATATTAGCCCATTTAGCCCTTTCTCTAGAAACCTCTACGTCGCTATTAAAGTTCAGAACCTCTGTGGTTAAGGAAGGCTGCCTCCGACTATTGCGGCTAACTATTACGGCTAACTATTACGGCTAACTATTATAGCTAACCTCTATTATTAACCTTTTTAGCCGGCGCCGCTGCGTAATAAAGAGGGCAGCTTACCTATCCCAAATTAAATAGCAGTTTTTATATTAAAATCACTATATTACGTTAAGCGCGTACTTAGGATATATTACGCGTATTATATAGTTAAAAAGTATACTATATCGTATAATTTCCCTTAAAAGCGTAATCCTGTTAAGGTCGATCTTTTATACTTATAAAGCCGGAAAAAAAAACCACTATATACTAACTATAATAAATCCGTACTTTTACTACTTAATAAATTTATTAAAATCTAAATAATTCCTACTTCCTCTCGCTACCTCGCTACTACTCTCGTTTTTATTATCTTTAATAATTACTACTACCCTTTTAAATTACTAACTATTATACTTACTAAAATCCCCCTTTTTATTTAATATAAAAAAATAAGTTTTAATAGTTCCTTTTCTAATAGTAGTAATAAACGTTTATATTACTATAAAAAAATATAATAATTAGTCTTAAGATCTTTACTAATTACTAATTTTTACTATTTCGTACCCTTTTAACTTCCTAAACCTCGTACTTTTTATAACTTCTAAATTACTTCCTTCCTTAACCTACCTCCTTTAGGGTAATATTCTAAAAAAATAGTTAAAAATAAACGCTAAGTAGCTTATAAAAAAGCTAAATAAGTAGTCGGGAGCTAAATAAATAATTAAGTATAGTTAACGAAATTAAGCCCTCTTTTTTATAAAATTAAAAACTTAAAAAATTTATTAAAAATACCTACTACTTCGTTACTTATATTAAATAAGATTAATTACTTTAAAAATCTTTTTTTAATTACTTTTTAATATTCTATTTTATATTTCTTAAATAGTTTTTTTTATAGCTTAATTATTATTAAATAATTATTGCTTATTAATAATTCTTTTTATTACTTAATTAATTTCTTAAAATTAATAATTTTATATTAAGAGCTAATATAAAAAAAAAGCTCCTTAATAACTTTTTAAAAATTTCTTTTCTTTTCCCCTTAAATCCTCGTTTTTTTAACTTTTTTTTAAATTAATTATAATTTTAATAAGAAGTTATAAAACTATATTAAAGTAGCTACCTTTTTCCTAAGTTAATTTCTAAGATCCGTAATACTCTTAATATAATATTATTAAAACTTTTAGATCCCCTCCTCCTTTATAAAACTATCTCTTATATTATATTTTAAAATAATACTTAGGGGGTAATTAAGGGAGCTATAAAGAGGTTATTTAAATTATAAGTTTAAAATCGTATTTATAAAATCCTTATAATAATAAACCTTTTTATATATTATAAATTTCTTAACTTTATAATTCTTATATAAGTTCTTATTATACTAACTAAAAATATTTATATTTAAAGATCTTTTTTTTAAATTATATAATACTCTTTTATACTATATTATTAAGCTCGTTCGTTATACTAATTAATTATATAAGTAATTACTATATAAATATTTCCTTTTACTAATCTAACTAATTAATTTCTAATTATAAGCCGGCCGTAAGAAAATTATTTAATAAAAAAGCTATTTAAAATAATAACAAAAAACTAATTATTTAAGTAGTTTTATTAATTAATATAATTTAATATAATAAACGTTAACTTCTCGTAAATAATAAAAAGCTACGATTACTTAATTTTATATAATATTTAAAAATCGTCTCCTCTTTTATTTATTTTTATAAAGTTAATTAATATAAGTCTCCTATTCCGTATAGTATTAAAAAGTCGTCTTTTTTATATAGCGAGATATTTTACTAATTTATAATAATAAAATTTAATTACTAATTAGTATTAATATCCTTATAATAAAGTAATTAGTTCGAACTATAAGTAATAAAAAAGTTAATTAAACTATATAAATTTTTATATAAGTATAAAAAAGAAGTTCTAACTATAGGTTAGGCTAGCTATGATAATTATAAATAGGGCCCCTAATTAGCCCCTACGTAGTTAGCTATATGCCGCGGTCGAATTAGACTTCTAATCTAATAACTAATTCTTATTAATTCCGAGAAGTAATCCATCTCCGGTATAAGGAACGTAGAAATAGACTTTTCGTTTCTTACTACGCCACCCTTACTAGTTTTCAAGAATCAGCCTCACAGAACAATACCACCTTCTAGGTATACAAAGAAAGCCCCCAGACAACAGGCATGCTACGATCGGTGCCGCAAAACACTACATATTACAGATAAACTGGTCCTTCGTCACCCCCTCTGAGAAGAGGCATTGTAGCCCCTTCAATGTATAACAATGTCTGCGGCTGTGCGGGAGCTCTCATAAGGTACTTAGTAATCGGACGAATCGAAGAGGTAAGAGTGTTGTGCTTAGCGAATCGAGTCTGACTGGCACATTTTCGAGAGGAGAGATCAAAGCGAAGCTACTATATGTCCGACCTATGAAACCCATCCTACTTCTTCACACGCAGATTTGCCCGCTCTATAAGGGTTTGGCTGGTCATCTACCCACCTAACCGCATTTGTCGCCGTAAATTCCACCATTCTGGTTCTTTTGGCCATCTGTACGACAACAATCTGCCGACTGAGTTGAGT